TGTTGCCAATGCTTTTGGTGTTTTGGTCATGAAGTCCTTGCCTACGCCTATATCCTGAATGGTTTTGCCTAGATTTTATCCTAGAGTTTTTATGGTTTTAGGTCTTATGTTTAAGTCTTTAATCCATCTGGAGTTAATTTTAGTGTAAGGTGTCAGGAAGGGGTCTAGTTTCTGCTTTCTGCACATGGCTAGTCAGTTTTCCCAACACCATTTATTAGACAGGGAATCCTTTCCCCATTGCATGTTTTTGTCAGGTTTGTCAAAGATCAGATGGTTGTAGATATGTTGTGTTGCCTCCACTAATTTCTCTTAAAAACGTATTTTTAAGAGTCTTGTCTCTAAAGGCTTCTTTAATTTATGCAGTTCTAATGAATTATCAGTAGATGGCAGTAATTCATTTTCATTTTTCTTTTCACTGCACAATAGAAATCTGAGAGGAAAAAGCCTAAAACTTTTCCAATTTTACAGCATAAATTTTATGGATAGTTGGTTTAAATAAATATTACCCAAGAGTTCTTCAATTTATATTGCTATGGAAATAGAGATCAAGAAATACTAGTTATTTTATTTTTATTATATAAATCCAATTTTCTTTATCCTTTAGGTTACTTTATCAAATACTTTAAGAAATACTAAAATGAATAAAACACTGTATTTGCCTTCATAGTGCTTACAATCTATGGGGAAAGATACTACAAAATAATGAAAATAATAAAAATAAAAATTTGTTGCGTATTCATAGCATGACAGGAATTTGCTAAATGCTTTACATGCATTATTTTATTTAGTCTTCACAATAACCCTAATGAAGCAGGCACTAATATTGTTCCCATTTTATAGGTAAGGAATCTGTGGCCCAGGTTGGAAATAATTTTCCTAATAAGCTAACAAGTAATGTAATCTAGATTCAAAACTAGCTCTGTCTTACCCTAGACTTTGTACCTTTATCTAAAATTATATAATAGAAATATTGAAACAATTCTTCTAAAAAAAGAAAGTCCACATCTTCCCAGAAAGATCAAGAAAGACCTCTTCAGGAAAATACCATCTAAAATGGAATTTTAGAAAAATACCATCTAAAATGGAATTGAAAGATTGACTGTGATGTTGACATGATTAGAACAGTGCTTTCAGAGCATTATTCTGTCAGAAAAGGGTGAATTGGAGTGGAGATAGACTATAGTTAGACACCTGTTATGTGTCAGGCACTTCTAGACCTCTGTCATCATGAAGCTTATATTAGTAGAAGGATAAGGAAAAGAAACAAATGTATGAGATGTCAGTGGTGATAAATGCTATCAAGAAAAATGAGGCAGGGCAAGGAAAGAGAGGATGAAAGAGGATTATCAGGGAAGGCCTTTCTACTATGATAGTATTTGGAATTGGTAAAGATTGATTGGATTCCAATATAATTTAAAGGTAGAACCAATGGGTTTTGTCAAAAGAACTGCATGCAGCATGTAATGGAAAGAAAAGAGTGAAGGTTCTGGCTCATCCTTTGGGTAGGTCAATCAGGGCATCAGCCCTGGAGTATTAAGGATTTCTCAAAGGACCCATGAAACATCAACAATAAGATCTCCTTATTATTGCCTTGGGTACTTCTAGTTGAATTGCCTTGGGCTCTATACCCTTGTGGAGACCTCCCTGCTAATGAATTCAGGGTTTTTGGCCTGAACAACAAGAAAAATGAACTTACAATTTACTGAAATGGAGAGGACTATGAAGGTGCAGGTTTAGTGGTGGTCATAGAGTGGACAGAGGAATCAAGAGTTCAGTTTGGAATATACTGAGTTGAAATGCCTATTAAAAATCCAAGTGAAGATAGCAGGTAAGCAATGAGTATGAGGATGAGTCTTCAGTTCAAAAGGGAGTTCAGGGTAGAGATACAATTCGGGAATTGTCAGCCTATAGGTGGATTTTAAAGCCATAGAGATACAATTTGGGAATTGTCAGCCTATAGGTGGATTTTAAAGCCATAGAACTAGATGGCATCATGTGTAGAATAAGTATGAGAAAAGAAGGAAGTGTGAGGACTGAGCACTGGGAGCTGTAACCTAAGTGAAAAAGTTGAGAAGGGACCAGCAAAGAAAACCAAGAAGTGTGGTGTTTCAAGAAGCCAGTAATTATCAAATGTGTTACATGATGCCAATAGGTCAAGTAAAATGACAGAACTTTTTCATTGAATGCAACAGTGTGGAGCTCATAGATATCTTGATAAGAGTTTTAAAAGTACAGTGATAAGTGATTGGTTCTAGTGGGTTCAAGAAGAAGGAGGGGAGAGGAAGTGGAGAGCAAGGATCCTGGTGTTAAAGGGGAGCAAAGAAATGGGTCAATACTGAAGGAAGTTATGGTGTTAAGCAAGGCTGGTAGTGGTAGTGGTTGTTCATTTATGATGGCCTGTTTAGAATAATACGTTTGACCAAGTAAATAGGGAAATTCTGTTGACAGGCCATTCAAAGAAGTAATGTCTGTGAGAAAGAGTACAAAAGTAGAGGATTGGCCTTAGATAGGAGCAAGAACACTTTATTTATTGCAAGAAAATGGTATGCTGGTATACAGGTGCAGGTATACAATCTGGTAGATGGGTAATTTACTATCTTCTCTGATTTTTTTCTTCTATTTCAGTTAAATTAGAAGGTAAATTATTAACTCAAAGGAAGGGAAAAGAGGTGTGGAGGTTTGAAGACAGGATAGAGTGAAGCAATCATCTACATAACTTGGTGCATCTTAAGAGCCTAGGATCAAGGGCCCACTTGACATAATGGTCTTGAATTTAAAGTCAGCCAACAGCATAGCTGTATGTCTTTCTTTAAGCATATTCAGCTACTTCAGTGTAAGCAAAGCAGCTGGTTGGGATTCTTTTAGGGAATTAGGGCAGGGACTGAGCTGCGACGGAAATGAGGGTGAATGCAAAGGAATCAGCCAGGTACAGAGGAAAGAATACATGAAAGGCTGTGGGAATGTGTAGAGATAGAAGAGTTGATGGGTTGGAAGCCTTGCAGGGTTAAACAGTACATACTGTTAAAATACTAGATGAGAAGAGCTAGAAAAAATAAACAATAGTTTGAATCTGAGATTATGGATGAGGTACAGTTACACTCTATGGGTTGCTGGGTAGAATAGATGAAAGAAGACATCAAACAACTGAGAGATCAGGGTTTTAGATATATATTTTGTGTGGATATTGAAATTACAAAGAAATATAAGAGAGTAGTGATAGAGAAACAGTAAGTCAGAAAATGCTATAATCTAGGAATGAGCCTTCCAAGACCTGGAAGACAGTTGATAACAAGGAAAGATAAAGCCTATATAGTCTATGGCCTGAACTTTGAAGAAACCAGAGTTTAGAGAAAAGAAAAGGAAATAGGGTGGCAGTGGAATGGGAAACAGAAAAAAATGTCTCATCGCCAAACTTAGTGGTTTGAAGATGAGGAAGCTGTGTCTTTGGACTTCAGTTAAAGCCAAAAGGTAAAAGGAAAGTTAACCGAAAAGGTTGACAATAGAGAGAACTTTGCTGAAGACGGCCCATGAATTTCAGAAGTCAAAGTGGAAGGATAGAAAAGGGTTGGGGAGTGGGTAATACCGCATCACACTAAGGGACTTACCAAGCTGAATAAGAATGGGTTCTCATGATGAAGAATGACCTGGCTTCTTCTGAAGACTGAAGTTACTAGGGGTGTAGAATTTAATGGGAATAGTGTCCACAATATTTTGGCAGCTTATGGAAGTTACACTGTGATTTGGGGGAGAGAAAAATGGGGACTCACCAGGAAGGTAAGTTACCTAGCAGGAAGGTAAGTTACCTAGCAGAAATGTACTGTTAGGGCATGAAGAAGTCATTGGATTGCCTCTTCAGCATGCAAATTGTGTCATTAGGGCATTGGAGGTCTGTTGGAGCTGCAGCAGCTCTATAAACGCACTTTACCAGAATAGTTTCCCAAAGAAGAAATGTAGACAGTACTAGTGGGAATAGAAGGAGTAAATTGATTAAAGTGATGTTTTAGCAACATAGGAATGCAAAATATAATGGACCCTTGAACAACACAGGTTTGAACTGTGCAGGTCCACTCATCCATGGGTATTTTCAACCAAACTCAGATATAGTATATGCAGGGCTTGAGACCCCCATGTAAGGAGGGCCAAGTTTTCACAGGAATGGGTTCCGAAGCACTGACTTTGGGACTTGAATATGCACAGATTTTTTTTTTTTTTTTTTGAGGCAGAGTCTCGCTCTGTTTCCCAGGCTGAAGTGCGGTGGCACAATCTCGGCTCACTGCAACCTCTGCCTCCTGGGTTCAAGCAATTCTCCTGCCTCAGCCTCCTGAGTAGCTGGGACTACAGACACATGCCACCATGCCTGGCTAATTTTTGTTATTTTTAGTGGAGATGGGTTTTCACTGTGTTAGCCAGGATGATTTCAGTCTCCTGACCTCGTGATCTGCCCACCTTGAACTCCAAAAATTGTTTAGGGCTTACCCTCGCCAGAATAGCACTCGACAGGCATGCTATATCCCCTGGATTCCATACCCATAACAGAAATTGCTAATTAATGTTAATATTGTTTCTCACAGATTCTGGTTATAGTTTCAGAATCCACTTCATCATAGTACTAGAGTTATATATTATTAATATTAACCCGAAATAATTACGCAGTATATGTCAGGTACTGATCTAAGCATGCTACCTATATTACTTTAATTATTAGAATAGCCCTATGAAGTTTTAAAGATGAGGCACTGAGGATCAAAGAAGTTAAGAAACTTAAGGTCATAACAACAGAAAAGCAGGAGAAGCAAAAATCAAATATAGTTCTACTTTTATTCCAAATTCTCTCACTTAACCATTGTATTTTAAATCTTGGCACTAATGATGAAATGTCATTGACATCCCTGTGACATGTTTGACAATTAATTTACCTTTCAGAATCACCAATATACAACACTAAAAAACAGAAGTGAAAGATTATCAATATAGATTATTGAGTAGGAGTAAACCAAAAGGAGGAAAAGAAGAGATTACAGACACAGAGAATGTCAGACAACAAAGAAAGGAAGAGTCAAGGAGTTTCTAAAGAAGGTAATGAAACAATCTTAAGAAATAAATAATTAAAAGATCAGCAACAACAACAAAAAAGTAGTCCGGCAGGATAATTGTGTTAAAGTTGATAGCAAATTAGAATAGAGGGAAGCAGTTACATTTAGCCAGGAAAAGCATACGCAGTTTTTAGAAAAGGCATGCCAACCTGAAAATACAAGCCTATAATGAAAATACATCAACTCTAATTGCTATAGAGTTGTTATAGTAGCACTGTAATTATAGTATATGTGCAAGTGGCCTGGATAAAAAAATTAGGACAATCAAAATATTTATACTGTTCCATAAAGGAATAGGTATAACATTGCAGTAGGCAACTTTGAATTGCCTATTACTGTTGCCTTTAATTTTGTTCTTTTCTATATCAGCAAGGGAAAATTACTAATTCTAGTTTTAGTTTAGGAGGAAAAAGCAACAACTGTTTCATGATTTTGAGTAAAGAATCATAACTTTCTTAAAATGTCTATATTTTAATTTTTATTATATACTTTATTCTTTTGTCTAGTTGTAGATAACCAAGACACATATTCATTAGCTGATGCTGTAGAGCAAGTTGCAAAGCAACAACAATCACAGGCATCAGAGATAGAAAAAAATAAAAAAGTTCTGTTCAATTTGCAGGTAACTTCTTTTATATAGTCTTTTAAATGTCTTTACTTTCTTCAAAAGTAAATAACCAGGAGGTTATTAAGAATACTTAATATTGGGACTTAGTTTTAAAGTTATTCTCTGTCAATTATTCTATTCTCCTTAAGTAAAGTTTACATGAGTATTCCAGTTTTATGGAAAATTTTACACTCCAAACATAAAAAGATTCAACAGTGTCATTGCAACTGTAGGATAAGCATATAAAACCTAACATGTTAGATAGAATTATTTTACATTCCCTTATTTGATAGTTTTTCCTAAAGTGCTGAACTGAAGGAAGGTTAAGTTTTAAGCCAGTGTTTGTAAAGCTATGGCTTGTGAGTTATCAGTTGTCAGTGAACATTTCAAGTAGCCTCCCTTTATGTTCCTTTCCTTTTTAACTATATTCATAATCCTACTACAGGGAATATGGGAACCATACTTGGTCTTTGCATGTAACATAATTAGATATAACTATACTATGTGAATATGACTAAAGAAGTGAAAATGAAAACAGTATTTTGTGCTCTGTAAAGGTTATTATTAAACGTATCATGGAAATGAGAAAAATAGGCTCAGGAGCTGAACTACCTAGTTCAAAAGGCCAGATTTACTACTTGTTCCATGATTGAATTTATTGCGCTCCCGTTTTCTTAATTGTGAAATAGAGATAACAATAGGATGTGCCCATAAAATTTTCATGAGGATTAAATGAGTTAATGTGTTTGGTGGGGACTAGGTGGACAGTATAGGGCCTGATTTTGACATTGGCTTTAAATGCATCAGTAGATATATGATGACAATAATTATATTATCATGGTAATATGGATTTCTTATAAATATTTGTATTATATTAGTCACTTCTAGAAAAGAATACATCTATTCAATAGAATAAAATTCAAAAAGAATGTCTTATATCTTTGTAAAGAACTTTTTTGTATCCCAGCTACTCAGGAGGCTGAGGCAGGAGAATTGCCTGAACCCAGGAGGTGGAGGTTGCGGTGAGCTGAGATCGCGCCATTGCACTCCAGCCTGGGTAGCAAGAGCGAAACTCCATCTCAAAAAAAAAACAAAAAAAAAAAAAAGATTTTTTTTGTAAAACTTTTCAGTCTTCAAAGAGTTTCATAAACTTTATTTCACTTATATTGCGAGCCTACTTTGTGTTAAGCATTTTGCTGAACATTGTCCTCACTCTTATGTTACTTACCATCTACTGGGGAGAGAAATAAGTAAACAAATAATTACAGCAGAGTAGTAATACAATAGAGGCATGAACACAACACAGATTTAACACTAGAGAAGCAGTGATCACAAATGATGTTTCAGTTGAGTTTTAAATGGCAGCTGGAGTTCTTCTGAATGATTACGTGTCTAATACAGGTTTAAGGGTTAGGGAGTAAGGAAGATATTATTCAAAATGAAAAGAACCTGAGGATATTCGCAGAGGCCTGAAATAGCATTGGTACACTCCTAGAACTGTAACCAGGTTTTTTCATGGATGCCGGTGGTTGTTGTGGGTTTTGGCCTCCAACCTCTTAAAGAATAAGCGGTGGTGCCACTGCAGGTGGACCGTGTGCTTGTAAAGCAAATATTGGACCCAAAAAGTGTTGCAAAAAGGTGATTTTATTTAAGTAGAGAAAAAAGAAGGAAAGGAGAAGATAAAGGCTTCCACGAAGGGTATGGAAGGGGATTCCAAAGGGGAAATACAGGAGGGAGCTCCCACCGTGTGGGAGGGGATTCCAGAGAGCTGGAAATCCGGTGCAGGTGAGGGAGCATGGACTTTTATCCTGGGAGAAACCCCCACCTTCTACAAGACCCTGGGCCAATGAAAGGAGTTCCTTAGAACTTACACTGGAGTGATTGACTTTTAGTTTCTTCCTGAGCCTGTGAAATTCAAACATAAACCATTGAATCTCCCGGATGGAGAGAGATGGGAGTGGGGCATGGCACTGGGAAATTCTTGCCTTTAAAGCTACGCCCCCTTATGGACACGGAAAGAGAACACATTCCCTCAGAACCATAGTTTGATGGCAATGTAAATTACAGTGTGTTTTGAAAAAATCATGGAAGATAATATGCCACAATAAGAAAATCCAACTTTATTCTAAACTTGATGAGTATTTGACAGATTGTAAGCGAAAAGCAAATAATTAAATATATATTTTAGAAAGCATTCTAGATACATAAAAAGCACTTATTATAATCCAATATCCATTCATAATTTGAAAAACCTCTCATCTAATTAGAAATAAAAGGAACTTCCTTAATCTAAGGAAGAACATCTACATAAATTCTACAACCAACCACATACTTGGTGGTGAAATAATGAATGTTTTTCTTCTAAGATCAGGAATAACACAAAGATGTCTGCTCTTACTTCCATTCAAGATGGTGCTTGAACTACCGTTCAAGCCAGTACAGCTATGTGAGGAAAAGAAATAAAACTCATCCATATTAGTAAGAAGTAAATCTGTTTTTATTGACAGATGGCATGATTTTTTTAAAAAAGAAAATCCCAAGGAATCTATAAAAAAGCTATTAGAACTAATAAGTGAGTTTAAAAAGATTGCAGGACACAGATTAATATATGAAAATTTATTGTATTTCTACGTATTGACAAGAGAAAATTAGAAATTAAATTAAACTTCAAAAGCAATACCACTTACAATTGCCATCAAAACTATTCAATACTCAGGGGTAAATTTAACAGGTTTACAAGACCAGTATGCTGAACGGTTTACAAGACCAGTATGCTGAACACTGTAAAACATTGGTGAGAAAAATTAATGAAGACCTCAGTATAGAATTATGTCATTTTTATGAACCAGAAGACTTAATATTGCTAATATGTCAGTTCTCTCAATTTTATTTACATGCAAAAAGTAGTCCCAGTCAAAATTTCAGCAGGCTTTTGGGGAGAAATATATAAGCTAATTCTAAAAGTTATATGGAAATGCGAAGGGCCTAGAATAGCCAAAATAATTTTGAAGAAGAAGTGTTGGAAATGTTATACTACCTGGGACATTTTCTAACACTAACAACCAATTTTCTGATTCTCTGGATGCCAACTGGGTGTCCAATGATTTGATTCACTTCTGACACTACAGTAGTTTTTCCTTATTTGCAGTTTTGCTTTCTGCAGTTTCAGTTACCCATAGCCAACTTTATTCTGAAAGTATTAAATGGAAGATTCCAGAAATAAACAATTTGTAAATTTAATATTGCAAGCTGGTCTGTATAGCATGATGAAATCTCGCACTGTCCTGCTCCATGTTGCGGGGGATATGAGTCGTCCTTTTGTCCAGCACGTCCATGCCATATGAGCTGCCCATTCTTTACCACTTAGTAGTCATCTCAGTCATCAGATTGATTGTGGCAGTATTGCAGTGCTTATGTTCATCTAACCCTTATTTTACTTAATGGCCCCAAAGTATCAGAGTAGTGATGCTGGCAATTCAGATATGCCAAAGAGAAGCTGTAAAGTACTTAGTGTTAAGTGAGAAGCTGAAAGTTCTCAAATTAAAGGAAAGAAAAAAAATCATGCACTGAAGTTGTAAGAGTTAAAACTACAAAATGTCTAGAAGAAAACATAGAAAAGCTTAATGATGCTGGGCTTGGCAATGATTTCTTTAATATGAGATACAAATTTTGATGAATTGCATCCAAAAAAATTTTTTTAACTTACTCTTCAATATACAGTATTATGAAAACAAAGTAAGATATTCTTGCTGGGCCCTTTGGCCATTTGGGTTGTCACAGACTAGAAGAAAATACTTGAAAACACATTTAACAGTATACTTAAATTACCACTCTATCCACACACACAGGAACACACACACATATACAACCCACTAGAATGTCTAAGTTGAAAAAGACTGACCATAACAAATGTTGATGCAGATATGGAAGGCCTGGAACTCTTGGACCTGTTGGACTGTAAAATGACACAACCACTTAGGAAGACCGTTTATACTTTCTTGAAAAGTTAAACCTATCCATACCATATACTCTAGCCATTTAACTTCTGGGTATTTACCTAAGAGAAATAAATGAGTATGCCCACTGGAAAACTGGAAATAATCCAAATGCCCATCAGTTAGATGAACTAATAAACTAATATGGTAGAATACAATGGAATACTACTTCGCAATAAAAATGAAGAATTATTGATATATATAACAACATGAATAAATCTTGAAATAATTATGCTTACTGAAAGAAGACTTAAAATTTTACATTAAATAATTCTATTTATGTAAAATTATTGAAAACCAAACTAATCTTTAATGAAGGAAGGCAGATCAGTGGTTGCCTAGGAATGGAGAAATGGAAAGGGTGGAATGAATTGCAGAGTATCAGGAGAAAATGTTTTTGGGTACTGGCTACGTTTATTATCTTAGTTGTGGCGATGGTCCCATGAGCACAAGAAGGTCAAAATTCATCAAATTGTAAAGTTTGAATATGTATTTATTTATATTAATTTTGCCTCAATAAAGTTAAGAGTTTAAAAAGGAGAGATTGAAGAAGGGGAGAAGGGTGAAGAAGAAGAGGGAGAAAAGAGGCAGAGGAGATAAAGGAAGAAGGGGAAGAGAAAAAAATAACATAATTCTCATGTAAGGGAAGAAATGGATTAAAGGCAAAAGAAACTAAAGCCAATAAGAAAAATTAACAGTCAATTACGTTAGTCTAAGAAAGAGAAGAGATGACTAAATTTTATTGGTCAATATACTCGCTATAGTGACCAAGAGAGTTAATAGATAGCCTGATGTAACCAGCAGGGCAGGTATCCCTTTCCTGACCATTGTTTGTGCATCAGTCATTCACTCATTTAATAAATGAGTGAATTTATTTATTTATTGAGCACCCACTTTGTGTCAGTTACTGTTTTAAGCACTGGGAAGGTAGTGGTGATGAAGATAGACATGGTTTCTGTAGCCAGAGAGCTTACTTTCTAGTTAGGGGAAGCAAGCATACATTAACAAAACAAAGATAATTCAAAGATTGATATATTACAAAGGAAATACGATGGGGTAATTTGTAGAGAGTAACTAGAGGAAGAGTGGAATAGTGGTTGGTTCATTTATATTTTGATATAGGGAAGACTATTCTGAGACATAGTAATACTGAATTGTAAAAGACAAAGACCTACGAGATAATTGCCAAGGGTAGAGAATTTTAAAGAGACCAAAAATAATTTAAAATGGTCTTAAGTCAGAAGGAAGTATACATATTTAATCAACAGAAAGGAGACTGGAAGAAGGAAGAGAAGTAGAGGAGAAGGTTAACACAGTAGATAGGCGCTGAGGCATATATGGCTTGTAAGACACTTTGAGGAATTTGAAATGTTTTATTGATGCAATGGGAAACCACTGGAGGATGTTGAGCAGGGAAATAACATGATATGATTTATGTTTTGAAACTATTCTTCTGCCTGATTTACACAGACTAGCTGGGGGAGTGGGGAGGAATGGAAATAGGGAGATGAGTTAGACATTAGGTCACACTATGAAGACTGATCAGAAGTCCATTGGGGATTTTATTTTGGAGTCCCAACCATCAGGATTTGCTGAGAAATAGGTTGTGGGGGTAAGCGGAAGGGTAGAATCAAGAATGACTTCTAGGCTTTTGAGTATGCAGGTGGAAAGTGGTACAGTTTATTGAAATCAGAAAGACTGGTGGAGAAATATGTTTGCTGTGTAAATTAAATTTTTTTTCTTTATATGTATAGTTGAGATATCTGGTAAACATCCATATAGGAATGTCAAGTGAGCATCCAAAGTATCAGACCTGATAATAAAAATTGAGGTTCATTGCCATGTTGTATTTTTCAGTTGAACTTAACCTTCTTTTCTCTACCATGAAAAGAATAAAAGGAAGTTTGCATTTTTAAAACAATGCCTTCTAACATTACAAGTTTACTTAAAAAGAATGACCATAGTAGATAGACAAGAGGACCATGGAGAATGGCATACAGAGTTATTTTGGTGGGAAGATCTAAAGAACTTGAGGAACAGTTAGACATAGATATTAAAAAGAAGGGAGGAGCCAAGGTGATACCATTAACTAAGTTGGGAAACAGGAATGTGGCTATTTGCATTTTTGGTACCAATTTTTTATCCCTTTGTCTATCCATACCCTTTGCCATATCATTACAATGACTTTCCAAAATGGATGGACATACTTCCACCCCTTGACTCTGGGTTTCATTATGTGGCTAGCTAGGGTGTTATCAGATGTGACTCAAACAAAAGCTTTAAAAAACTCTTCCATAACTGAATTTCACTCTTTTGCATCTACTATTATCATAAGACATGCCTGAGTTGGCCTACTGGCAGAGAAGATACACGTAAAGCAAAGCCAAGATATGCCTGTCAGCCCAGTTAAAGACAATTTAAATCACCCTACAATCAGCCAATCCCCAGACACTTGGGCAGATTCAACCAAGATCAGCAGACCCACCTAGCTAAACCTTGCTGCTCCCAGGCTTATGAACCACCTAGCCAACCTCAGCTGCTCCTAGTCATATAAGAAATGCATACTTATATATTGTTTTATGCCCCTGAGGTTTTGTGGTTCTGGCAACAGATAACTGATACAAGGGAGTAACCGGCTGCTCTTGTAGAAAGGATTCATTCCATTTTTGGACATGGTGAATTTGAGGTGGCCAATGGCAGCTGGGCATAGAACTCAGCAGCCACTTACTTACATTCTGTGAATCATCAGCAGATACGTAGCTGAAGATGTAAATTTAGATAAAATTACCCAAGGAGCATATATATATATATATATATATATATATATATATATATATAAAGTGAGAAGAGGAAGTTACGATGACTGAACTCTGTGGAAGACCTGTATTTGAAAGAAACGTTGAGATTGAGAAGGAATTCTCAGAAATTTCTAAGAACTGGAAAAGACTGGTAGTGCAAAAACTAGATTTCAACAAGGAGGAAGTGGTTAGCAGTGCAAAATAACCCAGGGAGGCAAAGTAAATATCTTTATACTCATTTTACAAATGGATAAAGCGTAGTTTGAATTGGGTAATTGTAATTGGGTAATTAGGTTTGTTATGCATTATCATACAAACTAGTAAATAGCAATCAGGGTGCTAGAACCTAGATCTTTTGAATCTTAACTCAGGACTTTATCATTTTTTATCATATTATCTTTCCTGAGTTTATACTTCTGATGCCTATAAATTAATTAATAAAATTATTATAAAATATCTTACATGTATAAAATGTCAAGATAAAACAGTGAGATTTTAATATTTAGAATTAGATGAACATTAAAAATATATATAACTCAGACCCCGCTGAAATTATAAAATAATTGTGTTACTTTATTGCATGTTTCCTTTTATTCATCAATTTTTAAATATCTGATAAATATATTTTTATAAGTGATATTTTTCTATATTCACTATGGATTGAAACATTGATTTTCCTCTTAAGTTTAATATTTTGAATTAATAATGACAATGTTAAACTATATTACAGAATGAACTTCATGAGCTTGAAAAACAAATAGCAACTATCTCTACAGAAACTAAAGAAACAGAAAGACAAATTTATCAACAAGATGCTGCCATAGAGAATACCAAACTTCATTGTGATAGCCTGGAAACTCAAATCAAATCCTTACATTCAGAAAATGTAAAGCTTAAATTTGACATAGAAACAGCCCAAGAAGATTTTGAGGAACACATGATAAAATATAATGCATATTATGCAAAAATAAAAACACATAAAAATAGTTTGGGAGAGGTAGAAAGCAAATGGCCATTTATGACTGAACTCTATGAAAAACGAAATTTTGTTAAAAAATTAAAGACAATGAAAGAAGAACTTATGCAAGATCTTCAAAATCCAGGAGGGAACCGAATAACACAAGTACAGGTTTGGAAAGTTATTTAGCAAAATTATTTTTTTCTATTACTTCTTTTTTTGCAAGTACATACATTAAATGATAAATTTATTGTGAAGTTAATAAAATGCCCATAACTGTTCTATTACATTCAGAAACTATTTTCACAATTAAAAAAAAAAAACCTGGATAAATACATGTGTTATATAACAACTATTCTAGATCCTCAAATGTGTAAAGGAAACATCCACAAATCCCCAGTGGATTCATAAAAATATGTGGTCAAAGAAAATCACAGTCAACAATTAATCCATTTGTTGCAGAAAGTATAATTCACAAAAATGTTGAAGCCTTAGCTTTTATGCCAATGGATCCAGACCAATTCAAATCAATTTAGTACACTTAAATGTTGTTACACAAGCAATATAAACTAACAATTGCACCTTATGCATCTATTTCTCTTACTGTTCTTTGAAGATGATAGAAGACACAAACTTAAAATATTGATCATTTCTTGCTAGAAAATTGAAAAGTATCTTTTACACTGTTGGGCAGTTGCCACCGTAACTACTAATTTCATTTTTGTCTTATTTTTGTTCGATTTTTAGTTCTGTTTTAAATGTACGGTTTCTTTGTTTTAGTAACAGTTCTTTATTTTGTACACCTATAGAAGTAATATTCTAATGCTATTTATCAAAACTAAATTTCGATTTGTCTAGTTTTATTAAATTATAGAAACATTGAAAATATTGGATTTATATTGACTATCTTTTTCTGACTTCTGTGTTTCAAATGTTATAAACATACAGGAAGATATTACAAAGTTAAAGGATAAAATTATAACTATAAAAGAATCTATCATTGTAAAAACTTGTTTTCTTGAAGAAGAAAAAAAGACACATGAAAAATTAAGAAAAGAAATAGAGGTAAGTCTTATCTAGATTTCAATGTTTTATGGGACCATTTTTTAAACTTATACCGTATTCTTATTTCCATAGTTTACTCTCAATACGCAAAACAGCTGAAGAACAAGAACTATAAAATTTAGTAAATACAAATCCTTAATAGATAACTAGAGATAACTGCCTCATTCAAAGATGTTCACATATGTGAATATGTTCAAACAGTGCAAACATTCGCTCCAGTTTAAACATGGGTGAGGGTTCTTTCAGGTTCTTGTCATTCCACTAAGAATATGATACCCAATTAATGGCTAGAAAGCAGCTATGTAGTCAAAGAGGATGCCCATTCTTAGACATCAAAGACTTCTCAAAATAGAATAATAACACAATGGTAAGCGTTGTTTTTCCAAACCTCTCTGACTTCATATTTGCAATTATCAAGAGTCAAGTTAAAAAACAACTACAAATATGCAAAAATGAGAGTAAATTCTTTTTTTTTTTTTTTTTTTTTTTTTGAGACAGAGTTTCACTCTTGTTACCCAGGCTTGGCTCACCGCCGCCTCTGCCTCCTGGGTTCAGGCAATTCTCCTGCCTCAGCCTCCTGAGTAGCTGGGATTACAGGCACGCGCCACCATGCCCAGCTAATTTTTTGTATTTTTAGTAGAGACGGGATTTCACCATGTTGACCAGGATGGTCTCCATCTCTTGACCTCGTGATCCACCCGCCTTGGCCTCCCAAAGTGATGGGATTACAGGCTTGAGCTGCCGCGCCCAGCCTGAGAGTAAATTCTTAATGTGTTGTGGTGCCATCTGTAGACTTCTATAGTTATTATTGCTTAGATGAATGGTGAACAAAAATGTAAAATAATACGCTATTAAGGCCAAATAATTTTCACCTGAATACATTAATTTGGAAAATAAAAATATGCATGTTTCAATTTGTTTTTGACTAATTTGACGCAATACAAAGCATCTGAAGAAATTGAAGATAAAAACCCTCATTTTTACATATTCGCTATTAAAAATATCACGATTTTACCTTATAGTCTATTACAATCTAAATAAATAAGGATTTTTCTGCCCTGTAGATGTTAAGGTTCATTATAAAACAATAAGTGGTAAGACAGTATATTAGTGGTATAAAAGTAGAAGAAAAAATTATTATTATTATTTTTGAGATAGAGTCTTGCTTTGTTGCCCAGGCTCCTTCTGGGTTCTAGCAATTCTCCCGCCTCAGCCTCCCAGGTGGTTGGGATTACATGCACATACCACCACAACAAGTTAATTTTTGCGTTTTTAGTAGAGACAGGGTTTCACCATGTTGGTGAGGCCAATCTCAAACTCCTGATCTCAGGTGATCCACCTGCCTTGGCCTCCCAAAGTGCTAGGTAAAGGCATGAGCCACCATGCCCTGCCAGAAAAAAATTGTTAATGAAAAAAAGAATCCAGAAATTATGCATGCATGAATGGCAAAAGCAAAATAGATCGCCTTTATGGAAAAATAAGGAAAAATTCAGAAATAAAACTGAATCTCTACCTCATAATACACACAGGTGCACATGCACACACACACACATACACACACACACACACACACACACACACACAAAATTCTGAGTATTGAATACAAGGTAGGAGAAAAACTTAACAATTAGTGTCAGAAAAGCATTTATTTTAAAAGAGAAAAACACTCCGTAAATTGTATGGTTAAATATTTTTAGTTTTGACTATGCTGTAAATTTCTAGATCATGGGAATACACCATAACAAGAGAAAGAACAAGACTCTTCTCTAGATTATTGTAACACATGTATGTGATAAGAGATAAGAAAATGTCAAATCAGTGAAACATTGGTCAAATGGTATAAAAATACCATTTTTCTGAAACATGAATATCAGAAATAAAGAAAAATATGACCATCATTATTAACAATCAGAGACTGATAATTAAAACCACAGCTAGATACCATGTTTAGCCCATCAGATTATCAGTATTACAGTTGGTAAGATGTTAAGCATGGGAATTTTAAAAGACTATTCTTGTGAGTATAAACTGCTAAAAGCATTTTGGAAAGAAATTTGAAATTACCTTGTAATTTTTTACAATAACATATTTTTTTGAGGTATACTTGTCATAAGAGTAAGTACACAAATTATAAGTGGATAGCTTGATTTATTTAGACTAATATGTATATTTATTTATGTTACTATTACATAGATTAAGATATAGAACTTTCCCAGCATGTTCAGAAGGTTCTCTTCTACCGCTTTTATCAAATATCCACTATTCTGATTTTTATAAACAGCTTTACTAAGATAAAATTCACACACTATACAGTTCACCATTTTTTTGTCAGATATTCTGCAACAAAGTTTTAAAAATGAAAATAAATTATCCAGAGATTTTTTTCTTTTTATTTAAATTTTAAGTTCAGGAGTACATGTGCAGCTTTGCTATATAGGTAAATTTCTGTCATAGTTTGTTATACAGATTATTCAAATGCCCAGGTATTAAGCCCTGTACCCATTAATTATTCCTCCTGATCCTGTCTCTCCTCTCATCCTCCAGTGTGTGTTGTTTCTGATAGGCCCCAGTGTGTGCTGTTTCCCTCTATGTGTTCATGTGTTGTCATCATTTAGATTCCACTTATAAGTGAGAACATGCAGTATTTGGTTTTCTGTTCCTGCATTACTTCACTTAGGATAATGGCCTCCAGCTCCATTCATGTTCATGCAGAGGACATAATCTCATTCCTTTTTATGGCTGCATAGTATTCCATGTTGTATATGTACCACATTTTTTTTAACCAGACTACCATTGATAGGCATTTAGGTTGATTCCGTGTCTTTACTATTGTGAATATTGCTGCAGTGCATGTACATGTGTATGTGTCTTTATGATAGAATGATTTATATTCTTTTGGGTATACACTCAGTAATGGGCTTGCTGGGTTAAGTAGTATTTCTGTCTTTAAGTCTTTGAGGAATTGCCACACTGTCTTCCACAGTGGTCAAACTAATTTACACTCCCCCCAACAGTGTATAAGTGTTCTTTTTCTCTGCGACCTCGTCAGCATGTGTTATTTTTTTACTTTTTGACAATAATGATGATGGTATCTCATTGTGGTTTTGATTTGCATTTCACTAATGATTCATGATGCTGAACTTTTTTTATATGACTGTTGGCCACATGTATTTCTTCTTTTGAAAAGTGTCTGTTTATGTCCTCTCCACACTTTTAAATGGGGTTGTTAGTTTTTTTCTTGTAAATTTGTTTAAGCTTCTTATAAGTGCTGAATATTAGACCTTTGTGAGATACATAGTTTGCAAAAATTTTCTCTCATTATGTAGGTTTTCTGCTTACTCTGTTAATAGTATCTCTCACTATACAGAGGCTCTTTAATTAGATCCCAATTGTCAGCTTTTGCTTTTGTTGCAATTGCTTTTGGCATCTTCATCATGAAATATTTTCCCATTCCTATGTCCAGAATGGTATTGCCTAGGTTGTCTTCCAGGACTTTTATAGTTTTGGGTTTCATATTTAAGTTTTTAATCCATCTTGAGTTAATGTTTGTATTTGGTATAAGGAAGGGGTACAGTTTCAATCTTCTGCACATGGCTAGCCAGTTATCCCAGCACCATTTATTGAATAGAGAGTCTTCCCCATTGCTTGTTTTTGTCAACTTTGTTAAAGATGAGATCATTGTAGATGCACGGCCTTATTTCTGGGTTATCTATTCTGTTTCATTGGTCTATGTGTCTGTTTTTGTACCAGTACCATCCTGTTTTGATTACTGTAGCCCTGTCCAGCTTTGTTCTTTTGGTTTAGAATTGCCTTGGCTATTTGGACTCCTTTTTGGTTCCATAGGGATTTTAAAATAGTTTTTTCTAGCTATGTGAAGAATGTCATTGGTGGTTTAATAGGAATAGCATCAAATCTATAAATTGCTTTGGGTAGTATTGCCATTTTAATAATATTCCTCCTATTCATGAGCATGGAATGTTTTTCCATTTGTTTATGTCATCTCTGATTTCTTTGAGGAATATTTTATAGTTTTCCTTCTAGAGCTCTTTCACTTCCCTGGTTAGCTGTATTCCTAGAGGGGTGTGTGTGTGTGTGTGTGTGTGTGTGTGTGTGTGAACTGTGAGTGGGATTTGGCTCTCAGCTTGATTGCTGTTTTATAGGAGTGCTAGTGATTTTTGCATATTGATTTTATATCCTGAGACTTTATTGAGGTTGTTTATCAGCTTAGGAAACTTTTGGGCCAGGACTTTTGGGTTTTCTAGATATAGCATCATATTATCTGCAAACAGGGTTAGTTTGACTTCCTGTCTTCTTATTTGTATATGTTTTATTTCTTTCTCTTGCCTGATTGCTCTGGCCAGGACTTCCAATACTATGCCAAATAACAGTAGTGAGAGGGGATCCTTGTCTTGTGCTGGTTTTCAAGGGGAATGCCTCTGGCTTTTGCCCATTGAGTATGATTTTGGCTGTGGTTTGTTATAGATGGTTCTTATTTTCAGGTATGTTCCTTCAATACTTAGTTTATTGAGAGTATTTAACATGTTAAGGGAGGGGGAATTGAAAACCTTTTCTGCATCTATTGAGATAATCATGTTATATTTGTCTTCGATTCTGTTTATATGATGAATCATATTTATTGATTTGCATATGTTGAACCAAACTTGCATCCCAGGTATAAAGCCTACCTGATGGTGATGGGTAAGCTTTCTGATGTGCTGCGCGATTCAGTTTGATAACATTTTGTTGAGGATTTTTGCATCAGTGTTCATCAAGAATATCAGCTTGAAATTCCCTTTTTGTTACGTCTCTTCCAGGTTTTGGTATCAGGATGATAAATTCAGTGATAAATTTCAGCTATTTATTACTGAATCAATTCCAGAGCTTGTTAATTGGTCTATTCAGGGATTCAATTTCTTCCTGGTTTAGTTTTGGGAGGGTATATGTGTCCAGGAATTTATCCATTTCTTCTAGATTTCCTAGTTTATGTGCATAGGGGTGTT